TCCTCTCTCCACCCATCAGATTGTGCATTTTATGATTAACAAACCTGCCTTGCCCTCTGCTCATCCTCACCCCTCTGCTCCCACTCTTCCCCCACTGGATCCTCTCATATATGTTTCACAATAATGGTCTTATACAGTATTTGTCTGTATGGGACTGAGTTAATTCACTTAGCATAATGCTATCTAATCCTTCCCAAATTAGGTAGTAATTTACAAAATCATTGTTCCTGTGTGCTGTGTAGTATTTCATCAGGTGAATGCACCATAATTTCTCAATTCATTCGTTTGTGGTTGGATATTTGGACTATTTCCACATTCTTACAATGGTGAATAATGCTGCTATGAACATTGGTGCACAAGTCTTCCTTTGTGCCTCAGCTCTCATTTTCTCAGGGTATTACAAGTGGTGGAATAGCTGGGACAAATGGAATTACAAGTGGTGGAACAGCTGGGACAAATGGAATTTCTAGGTTCAGCTTTTTGAGAAAACACCAAAAAATGGTACATTCTTATTGTCTTCTTATAAGATTAATAAGAAGCTAAAGTGGTGCAGTGATTATGCTCTTGGCTGATAACTTAAAGGCTGGTGACTTGATCCCACTAGTTGCTGGGCAAGAGAAAGATATAACAGGCAGTCTTAGTAAAATTAAAAAACCCCAAAATTACAACCTTGTAAACCCTGAAGGAGTCAGCTCTACTCTTTTCTATAAGGGGAATCAGAAAGTCTTAATTGTGCACTTGAATACCATGAATGATATTTGTGGTAATTAATAATTTTTACTCCCTTCTCTGTCCCTTCCCATTTCTGTTAAGCAATATCGATTGATAGCATATTCAAACCATTCCTTAGCATATTATAATAGTGGTCTCACACTGTAATTATTCTTTTGTGACTGACTTATGTCACTCAGCATAATTTGTTCCACAAGCATTCATGTTGTGCAGTAGTTAATAAATTCTTTTTTATTTTTTAGTGATGCATCATTGTGTGACTGTGCTGTGGTTTCTTTAGCTATTCATCCTTTATCTGTTGATGGATGTTTAGGTTGCTTTTAAATTCCTGCTACTATAATGAATACTTTTGAAACTTACAATGTTCCAAACAATATTCTAAGGCCTTTATATGCATCACACCCAACTTCATCTCAAATCTAAATATTTTCATAGTACTAGTTTTAGAAAGAAGAAAGAACTGAACCTAGAAGGATTATAGATTTTCCTGGGACAAAACTAAATAACTGATGGAGATGAGGCAAAAAATGTAAGCTCTAAGAGTATACTTCAGTTATACTGGTTTCCTGTGGAAGTTTCTTCTACATGATACCAAATAGAAAGAAAAAAAAATATTTCCAGGGATTCTTCTTTAAGCAAGAAACATTTACTTAGTGACTTAAAAGAGGATTAAGAATTAGCTTGAGAAAAAAGAGAAAACATTCATGGACTTTAGATGGGAATGAGATTGACCTGGTAAAGTCTGATTGAGGATTAGAAAATGGGTAAAAGAATGAAAAGGAATTGTGAAATGACAATAAGGCCTAGGCAATAACTAAATCATGCAAGTTCATCTCTACCATCTTAGCTACCATCTTAAAGAATTTTAGTATTTCTTATAATATTAGAATAATGTTCTGATTTTAGAATTAGAATATTCTAAATTTAGAATTTAGATTGACTGAAATATTTTCTGTTTATTGCTAAAAAATTGTAATACTCCATGTTCTTTTGCTTTTTACATTTTAAAAATTTTGTTTTGAGTCAGAATTTGCAAAGCACGTTTTTAAAAAATCAAGCTCTAATGCATATTTTGAGCATTGGTGGTTCTAATAGCAAGAAGCTGCGCTATAATCCTGAAGGCATGAAGTTCGAATCCATCAGCTTCTCCATGGAAGAAGGATGGGAAATCTCCTTTCATGTGATTAACTACCTCTGAAAACCCAGCTATGGGTTGGTTTCGACTTGACAGTACGCAACAACAACAACAACAACAACAATGCATATTTTATCCGATAACATCAATTATGGTACCTATAATATCTGGTTATCCATTCATTCCATACTGTTAAATTATTAAGTATAGGGGGCAGGCGTGTCCGCTCTGCAGGCGCTATGGGAGGATTCCCCGCTTACTGCATGGAGGGGCTCGCTCTCCTGTGGTTGGCGGTGGGGTCACTGTGGGTCCCTGACCAGGACTGCAGGGAAGGTAGAGCCTCTTTCCAGGCCGTGGTGGAATGGAACAGGAGGTGCTGAAAGGAAGTGGCGGCGGCTCGCGACCTGGGGACGCCCGAGGCTGGCTGGGGACCCGCTATTGCAGCCCCCGCGGCGGCAGAAGAGCACGAACCCTTACACGAGGCCGCTGTGGGCATGTTGGGGGCGTTCTACGCCGCTGTGCCCCTCTATCGGCTCTATTGCCAGACCACTGAACTTTGAGGATCGGCAGTCGCAGGCCACTTGTCAAACCAGATTGAAACCATGGTGCCTGTTAAGGATCGCATCATTAGAATGACCTACAATGCAGATGTGCACGCAAGTCTGCAGTGGAACTTTAGACCTCAGCAAAGTGAAATCTTTGTAGTGCCAGGAGAGATTGCACTAGCATTTTACAAAGCTAAGAATCCTACAGACAAACCAATAATCGGAATTTCTACATACAACGTTGTACCATTTTAAGCTGGGCAAGATTTTAATAAAATCTTTGGGAATATACCCTGAAGAGACCATAGCTGACATCCAAGCAGATATATGCACACCCATGTTTATTGCAGCTTTGTTCACAATAGCAAGGGAGTTGGAAAGAACCTAAGTGCCCATCAACAAACGAATGGCTAGAGAAGCTGTGGTATATTCGCACAATGGAATACTATGCTGCATTAAAAAACAAGGAACTCATGCAATATTATTCAAAATGGTTGACTCTGGAGAACATTATGCTGAGTGAAATATCCCAGTCACAAAAGGACAAATATTACATGATGCCACTGTTGTAGAATGGGACTGTCCTTGGGGTTGGGGAGAGACTGAGTAAGATGGGTTCAGTAATGTATACTGCACTGAAACAGAGGAGGGAGAGAACCGTTTAAAAGAGAGATATAACTGGGTATTTCTGTCATCACAGGAGACTAGAGCAAGGGCTACATGGTGGAGGGGACCTGGGGGAGGGTTTGTAAAACAATGAAAGAATCTTTTCTTTTACTTTTCCATAATTTTTGGACTCATGTACTTATAACTTGTTAGTCAAATTTGTGTCTTCTAGGTTGCAACCCCCCCATGATACATCTTCAAGGATATGAACATGTACGTTTAAGCACAATTAACAACAGTGCATCTAAATTCCAAAATCAATCTCCATAATAGTCTATGTGTTTCCTACTGCCCAAGGGGCCCTTTAGAGTAGTGAGAGAAGATCTTCACCCTGAAACCCACAGCGTCCCTTTTCAGCAGGAAGTAGCTAAGAGAATACGCCATCCCCTTTTCCTTATGACTCAGGGTGAAGTCTCTCTCAGGGAGGAGTGATAGGGAATGGCAAAGGATACACTGACAAAGAAGATTAATCAGAACTGGCTTTGACAAGCACTGTGGCATTTGGACAAGAACAAACTGGGAGAAGGGTAGAGAGAATAGTGCAACAATGAATGAGTGGAAGCCCAAAATCTCTGTAAATGTTTATGAAAATTAATAAAATATAATTATAAAAAAAAGATTTTAATAAAATACAGTGCTTCTGTTTTGAAGAACAAAGGCTTAATCCACAAGAAGAGGTAGATATGCCAGTGTTTTTCTACATCGATCCTGAATTTGCTGAAGATCCAAGAATGGAGAATGTTGATCTCACTACTTTTTCTTACACGTTTTTTGAAGCTAAAGAAGGGCACAAGTTGCCAGTTCCGGGCTATAATTGAAATGGTCAACTAAATCTTATTGCAGAATTTTTATTTTTAATAAATCATGTATCTATCTTCTCAGAAGAGGAAAAACATACTGTATCGCTTTCTATTTAAATATAGTGTACAGATGTACTAAAGTTTTTATCCCAACACCAAATAATTTATCTCACTATAAATTAACAGATCAGATTTTTAGTCTAAGGACCTACCACGACTAAGATGTATGACTGATACCAAACTTAAAGAGTATGGTAGGCAGTATTAAATGAACCACGTTACTTTTTCAATATGTGATGATGGTAGCGTTATGTGCCGTTGACTCAGAGCTGGCCCTCCAGTGGGTTTTCAGAGGCTGTATATAGCCTGAGAGGAGATTATCATTGACCATATTTCTCCTGTGGAGCTGCTGATGGATTCAAACAACCTGCGTTTGTATTGGCTGTTATTGTGTTCATAGATGAACCTCTCAACAATTTAATGGTACACCTTAATTAAATAGATCTCTTCCAAATTATTGGCCATCATTCTTATAAGCAGGGAATCTGAGAACTTAAAAACCAAAGCAGTATATACTTAGTGTAACATCTCAGATTATAGCCTAGCATTGCTGACCAAAATAGCCTTCCATGTGAACAGCCATTTTTAAAGCTCAACATGGAAGAGAAGTCACTAAGTAACTGTCACAAAAATTACCTCTTTTCAAATTCTGCTTTCTTTGAACTTTAAGATCTGGGTGACTTTACAGTCATATTAAGGAATAGATCATTTACTCTGAACCTGTGGTACTTGAAATGGAAATTAAATGTGTCTGTAAATCTATTAGGCTTTAGGATTTACTGTGATAGTTTCAACTCCCTAAATGTTAAAACACCAAGTGTGGAATTGTGTACATGTGTTGACATCAAAAAGTTCTTTTAAACTCTAAAAAAAAAGAGACATTACATTAAATTATTTTAATACTAAAAATTATTAAGTATAATTATCTCCCTTTGTATTTCATTAATTATAATTTCACAAACTTTTTTATTTTCTTCCTTTCTCTTCTGCTCCTCTTGTTTACTTATATTTTTCCTAATTTCCCCCTTTTTTTATTCTTGCCAGGATTAAGACATGAAGAATATGGAACAAAGCAATTACAGCTCTCCACATGGTTTCATTTTGCTTGGCTTCTCTGATCATCCCAAACTGGAGATGATCCTGTCAGCAGTTGTTGCTATTTTCTATGTAATTACGCTGGTGGGTAACACAGCCATCATTCTTGCATCTCTCCTAGATGCCCGTCTGCACACACCAATGTATTTTTTCCTCAGGAATTTATCTTTCCTAGATCTGTGTTTTACCACCAGTATTGTACCTCAGATGCTAGTTAACTTGTGGGGTCCTGATAAGACCATCAGCTATGTGGGTTGTGTCATTCAACTCTATGTTTATATGTGGTTTGGTTCTGTTGAGTGTCTTCTCCTGGCTGTTATGTCCTATGATCGTTTTACAGCTATTTGTAAACCCTTGCATTATTTGGTAATCATGAACCCACATCTTTGTCTCAAGATGATTACTATGGTCTGGGGCATTGGTTTGACCAATTCTGTGATATTATGTACACTCACACTTAATTTGCCTAGATGTGAGAACAACATTCTAGATCATTTCTTGTGTGAGCTGCCAGCTATGGTCAAAATAGCTTGTGTAGACACCACAGCAGTTGAACTGTCTGTTTTTGCTTTAGGCATTGTCATTGTCCTTACACCCCTCTTCCTTATTCTCATGTCCTATGGTTATATTGCCCGAGCAGTACTGAGAATGAAGTCAAAAGCAGGCCAGCGAAAAGCCATGAATACTTGTGGATCTCATCTCACTGTAGTGTCCATTTTCTATGGAGCTATCATCTACTTATACCTGCAGCCAGGTAACAGTGCCTCCAAAGACCAGGGCAAGTTCCTCACCCTCTTTTACACTATCATCACTCCAAGTCTCAATCCCCTCATCTACACTTTAAGGAATAAAGACATGAAGGGTGCACTACAGAAGCTGGTGAAAGTTGATTGTAAATCTGCAAAAATGAAGAGGAACTGGAAAGCATAGAAAAATATCAGAGTCAATTAAGCAGTAAAATATTTTTCCCCCTGAATGTCCTTAAACTTTTAGAGTCAAGTAACTCTGTAGATTTCAGCTGACATATTTCTTCATGTAGATTTTTTGTGAATGCAACAGTGTCATAACCATTTTACTTTGCTCTTTTATATCTTCATCTTCATGTGCAGGCAATATAGATTAGTAGGAATTTTTGGTTTTGCCAGTATTTTTACACAAAGTTGATGTGAATATAAACTTGATTACACTGAACTTATTCTCCCGTCCTATGGAATATGTTAAAAAGTTCTGGTGGCATAATGGTTAGATGCTTGGCTACTGTCCAGGAAGTTGGAGGTTCAAACCCACAACTGACACTGTGGGAGACAAGGCTTAATGTTCTATTTCCATAAAAATTGTAGCCTAGGAAATCTTACAGGGCAATTCTATTCAGTCATATAAGGTCACTGTGGGTAAGAATGGACTTGCTGGCACATGACAATTAAAAAATGGCATTTGACTATCTAATTTAGTATATTTATTGTTAATACTTATATATTTGATAAATAAAGCCTAGGAATTATTTAATAGGCATTATAATTTGTATATTAAATAATAGTAATTAAGATATGATTTTGTAAGTGAAATATTTTATGAGATTATTTAAGATTTATGTGGGTTTGATACTAGTGAACTTTATAAGCTATTGATTGTCATAAAAAGCTTGAAACTATTTACTCTTTGTCAAGTATAACATAACAATATATTGAGTAAAGGATTCACTAGCTGGTTCATGACAGAAGGATGGACATTTTCCTCCCATATAAATTACTGCCTCTGAAAATCCACTTGTGAAAGGAGCAGCTACAAAATGTGGGAGTGGCCAAGTTTGACTTTTCCCTGCTTCATAAAGAGAAATTGTCCCCATCAATAATATCCATACCAAAAACCCAGATATCTGCTCAGTCAGACATGCCACTTACCATGCACCTCTTTCTATCAATCTTTCAGGTTTGATATTCATTGTTGACTCAGACTTTACTCACAGTTTGTGGTCTATTAGGGAAATAAGTTAAAGAGTGGGAGGGGCAAAGAATATTAATGCAGTGCAAGTCAAGGTTTAGTCCAGCAGTCTCAAGCCAAATTAACAAAGGACAATTCATCGATTATTGAAAGTCCAAGTTCAGTTCAGCAGTACAAATGCAGGAAGCCTCTGGTTTCCTCAATCAAACAAACGAACTTCATTTTAGAGCTGTTACAAATAAGTTTCCCTTCAGTCATCCAGCACAAAATCCTTTAACTGTGGCTCCATTTCCAGGGTTCTTCACCACAGTCTCTTCACCACCATCATTCCCACCTGGATCTCACACTACAGTATGGAAGGCACCCCTCTTATATTAGTTCCACAGCTGTTGATGATTTTCAAGACCATGTGTCTGAAGTTAAGGTACCTGGAGTTTGGCAGGGGCTAAGAGAATTGTTAGAAAAGCCAACTTTCAAACTAACACCACAGTCCACCCTGGATTTTCTAGTCATTATTTCTCATTATCTGAAGGATCAACCTTCCCCTTACTACCATCTATGTTCATGGAAACATGTAAGCCAGCTGCTTCGCTTGTTATGTCTTAATTTGCCCAGTTTAGATAGTTAAGTTCTGATTTGCCCTGCACTATCAAAGCAGTACTCTGAAGAAACAAGCATATCTTTTTCTCTGAAGAGTAGTCTATTGCAATTGAAACTTTGAGCATCCATATCTGCAAACAGAAGTCCAGTCCAGAGCAAAGCATCAGGTAATCAATACTAGCTCACAGAATGAAATATCTTTTCTTCATCTGGTTGGATTCTGGTTAACACATCCCCAGCTATCTGTGGCTAGGTCTAAATTGGCATCAGCCATAGAAACTCAGGGGTCCACACTTCTTCCTGTGCTTCAGACATCTGGTCCCCTCAACTCAACCTCAGCCCCACAAGGGTAAAGTCAATAAGTCAGGGATCTCCAGGACTTCCTGCTCCACAAACCAGCAACCCTTCTTCACTTATCTGTTCATTATGCTACGTGTATAGTGCTGAGGGAACAAGTCTAAACTCAGTCTGTCTCTTCATTACTGCATATCTCCTGCTTCCACTTATTAAGTGGACCCAGGTGGTCACTATGAGTTGAGCATAATAGCCAGTTTCCTTTAACATCAAGGTCTGTAAAGGGAGTTCTGATGTTTCACTCTTCCACTCATCAACGAGACCAAGGTGGCCTCAGTTTATTAGCAGTATTCCTTTTTCTACTTTTTTTTTTTCAAATGTAACTTTCTTTAGAGTACTAAATTGCACTGTCTAGCAAATTTCTGTTTCATTGTGAACCCCTGTGAGATTTTCAAGGTTATACATCCCACTTTCCTCCTCAGAGGACCTGGTGGACGTCAAGTGCCAACCTATTGGTTAGCAGGCCAACATAGAATACACTCCATCTCCAAGACAGCCTCACCATGACTGCACATAATAGATGAAGAAAGTAAATATGGAGATTTTTCCATATGCTGAGTTTGCATGTTCCTATTTCAACAACATATTCTGAAATATTTGGAAGGAGGAGTGGCATCCACTTCCATAATAGCTTGCTTCCAGAAACCCTATGAACCTGGAGAGAGGATGAAAGGCACCCAAGCATCGAGGACTCTCCTTCATAGGGTCGGTATGAGTCGCCTGCAACTCGACGGCACTTAACAACAACAACAACAACAATAACATTCAGAAACATAGGAAATAAAAAGTAAGTTACATATAACAAAATAATGTATGGACACCTGCTACAACTTCTATTTAACATTAAGCTGAATGTTTAGCAGTGCAGAAGGAAAGAAAAAGAAAGAAAAGGTGTTTTTTAGATAGGGAAAGAAATAATACATTTCTATTTATTTCCAGACAACAAAGAATTTGGTACATAGAACATTTAAAAATAAAAAAAGCAATTACAAAGAAAAAAAGAACTTTAGGGTATGATTTCTAGCATAACATGGGAAGAACGGAATGATTATCTCCCAGTCTCACAACAAGAAAATTACTGAAAAAACTGAAGTTCAACAGCTCTTTGTTGATCCATGAGAGAATTAATGTCACAGGGAAAACTGTTAACTCCTCCCATCTCTCCAACTCTCCTCCAAACTGGAGAAAAAAGGAGACACAATCAGGTTATCAATAAGAAGTCTACTTCTGGTCTTCCTCTTGGGAGATCCAAGATGGCGGAGGAGGCAGAGACAGCGTGGTGAGCTGTGGGAGCAGCGAACCATTTAAAGCAGGGCCATTGTGGCCTTCCACAGACTTCGGCTTATTGATAATTGAACACTTAAACAGTTGATGACTGGCCCTCAGTGAAGATCGAGGCTCAACAACAGGAATTCAAGGATTCCCAAGGAGAAATGGGCGAAAGAAGACGATTACCTATGCATTGGAGAGGCCAAAGAGGAAGATTACCTATGCATTGGACAGGCTAAAGAGGACGATTACCTATGCAATGGATTGCTGAAAGTCGTTGTGAGTCTGATGACCTTAACAGTGGCAGCATGCACAAGAGGACTGACATCCTAAATGCACCACATATTTTGTTCTGTTGAATGCTTCTGCCAAAAGATGGTTAGACCTAGGGGCAGTCTGTTCACAATTCTCAGGTTCCCTTTATAATACATAAAGGGGGAGGGAAGTGACACCTACTTCAAAATATAGTATGACCACTTATGGGGGATTAAAAGTGGCAGTGCTGGAATTGGAAACACTATCCCTGACCACAGAGTCCTCAGTCAGGTGAGGGGACCAGACTGGGGTAGGGGCAATTGGAGGGGGAGTATACCAGCCAGCTCCTGGGGGGTGTTGCCCTGCTCGGGATGGGCTGCCCTCGGCCCCTGGCTTGGGGCAAGCCGTCGCGGCCCTCTGCCCAGGGCGGGCTGCCCTCGGCCCTCTGCAAGGGCGGGCTGCCCTCGGCCCCCGGCTCAGGGCAAGCCGTTGCGGCCCTCAGGGAGAGCTCCTCAGTCCCCAGATTGTGCCATCTGACCCCTGGATGGGGAAGGAGAAGAAAAAAAAAAAGAATGCCTAAGGTATCCAGAGAATGTTACCTAGGCCACCTTCTGCCCCCCTCCCCCACAGTAAACCTGAAAGCAACACCCTCAAAGCCCTTCTATTTGTAACTCACAAGTTTGTTCTCTCTAGGTTTGCTCCCTTTCCTATAGGTAACCTTAACTCTGAGTTTTACTCCATAATTGACCCTGAGCCCAGTGCCAGTGACAAAAAGGAAATACAACTGACAGCTAAGGAAGCAAAGGAGGATGGAGCCTCTGGGTTCAACCAGTCATCCCCACTGGACCCACCTGGGAAAACACTTTGCAGTCCAGAGGGGAGCAAATGACAGGAAAATATCTTCTAACAGAGCAAGAAGGCAAGCAGCTGTAACCCAAGACCACCAGTAAGGTGATAAAGCGTCCTCCCTTCCCCCCTTTACATCTATGCCCCTGTTCAGCATGAAGAAGCCAGAGAGTCGGCATCCAATTCCCAAATCAATAAGACAGTTGGTTTAATTACTATTGGAAAATGCTTGTCATTCCTCTGTAGCATCTGGTCCCCACTGGACCCTCATCATTTCCTTCACCTGCTCCCCCCACCGACCAAACTGTGCAGCTCTGCAACTGCATCCTGGCCCATCCTCACTCTTCTGCCCCCATCCCTCACCTCCTTGTACCCCCAATATGTTTTTCCCAATAAAAAAAAGGGAAAAAAAGTCTACTTCTGGAGCCAGTATTATTGTCGAAAAGATAGTCAATTTGTTGCTAATGAAAATGTTCTGTTCTCTGGGAAATAAATAGAATAGAAATGAGCTTTGAAGTAGCAAGGAGAAGGCCAAGGTACTGTCAGAAACCCAGTTTCCTCATCTAATTAGTCCAAGCTGTGCTTAAGGTTTAAATCATGTGTCTACATTTGCTCATCTATATAGTGTGGGAATAAGCAGAGCTTTGACCCCATACTTACCAATG